AGCCGCTACATCTGATTTTTATTTCGAAAAATATTTGAAAACCATATGACATTTTCCTTCCACTACAACTTTGTGCTGTTTTATCTCACATATACATAATAAAATAGATTAATGCCTGAATTTGTGGCAGCATTGTGGCAAAATCAGGGCAGATAAGGCGCCTATGGCCTCTACTTTTTCAGGGCAGAGTCAGTTTTGAAATGGCATCTCTTGCGAGGAACAACAGAATATTCTCCAGCACCTTTTTTTTTCTTTATAGAAAAAAAACCTGACAACATTTTTATCACCTTCCAGCCTAGTTTACAGGCTTGTTGAATAGCCAGGCGGTGCAGGGATGACATCCAAAGAGCGAGGCGTATGAAACGGATTTCTGCTGAGTACACGTTCGGCATTCCAGGCATGAGGCTTTCAGTGCAACACAAAGCTGTCGGATGCTAAGAATATATATTTCCAGCACACACTATATATTTTATACTTGTAGGATGAAAGCCGTTCCACCTTCTTACCTTGGCTGCTGTGGGGAGAATGAAAGTTGAAAATGTTCACTCTAAAATCAAAACTTCGTCTCGGTGCTTTTCTTTGTTCTTCTATGTGTTCCTCAGGCCAATCAAGCGTTGTTGGAAAGATTAATAACTTCATCAAAAATGTTAAAAGGAAAAATTACATTGACTATAAAATTGGTTACTCCTGAGGCTATTATAATCATTATTTGCACATGATTTTACTTGTTTTCATCGTAGTTTTGTTTTTGCGTGACAGTCTGTCATGATTCAACTGGTTCTTACATCTTTTTGGCATCAGATGGAATTTGTGGCCAGTTTAACATTTAAAGATTTAAGAAACATTTCAAGGAGAGTGAAGTAACTCTCCAGAATCTCACTCGCTGCATTTCTGTTGATCATAGGGAAGTAAATCAAGTTTTTTTCACTAAAATGTCTGTTTTTTTTCCCGGTCACAATGAAATTTGTGCATTTCGCAAAATAGCTACGGAAACACTTTCTTTGCATCAAGAGTCGGATATTACTACTGGTGTAAAAGACGAAGAAGACGACAGGAAGTGGTGGATGGACGATGTCGCTGGATGTTTTTTAATGACTTAACATGTGAACAAGATTATTCACATGTGAATTTAATTTCTTCTAGTTTCTTATTTGAGGGAAACACCACATTGTTTTCTTTTTAAACATTAGCGGAATTTGGACAACGTTTTGCCCACATTTGTAATGGAAACACAGTGGATTTGGGCTTTGACTAGACTCAGAACTGTTAGCGTCTCACTTGTCAGTCAGTTCTTAATGGACTCGCTGGGACTTTTTGGGTTGCAGGATCGTCTTCAGCTTCACTTTTATGTCGTTAAAGATGACCTCACGTTTTTCTCCAGCATGTTTTTAAAAATAATGAATGATCTCTGGCGGTTTAGTTGATCATGACTGATTTGTAAAAGTAATAAAAAGAGTAAAACATCCAAGGGGTGAAAACTCTATCAACTCTGGATACTCCTTATGTTCTGTTTATGTCACAGAGCTGATGTAGAAAGTTCACCCTGAATCTCAAATCTCAGTCCTGCAATAGAGCATAGCAAACGTAGTGTAGATCAAACTTTTAGGGTTTAAAAATGCTCTTTCATAAATATAACGAGAAAAATAATCTTGAGTCTGTGGGATAACATGCACTTCTTTTGCTCTGCATCTCACTTAAAGTTTAAAATGATCAAAAATACACAGCTAATATCTGAAGTAATTAAAAAAAAAATAACTGTATTTCTGTGTGGCTTTGGGACCACAGGTGGTTTATTTAGCAGAAAATGTATTGTAAAGATGACTCTGGAATGAAAATGTCGTGTTTTGCATATTTCATTTATTCAGGTGCCTCTTATCTGCGCTCCACCAGGGGCTTCATTGTAAACAGGGGAGGCTCAGGCCCAAACATTACACAGAAACAATTAGCAGAACAGCCCTGGAGGAGCGCTGGAGCCTGGAAGTGACTTCAAATCAGTTTTAGTGAGCAGAATGACTAAACCCGAGGCGTGGAGTCTAAAAAGGCCTTCTGATTCTTTTGGGGTTGTTGCTGTTCCCAGAAACACACAAAAAAAAACCTGCCGCTTCAGGCCGAAGGGTCAACAGGTTATGGCTCAACACCAGAAGCTTCTGCGGTGACAGACGGGAGCATCAAGCTGGGAAGAAATACTGGTAAAGATGAAGACGCAAACAAGCTGGATGTATCAGTGCGAGGCCAGCTGACAGAAAAAATACTGGGATTTCTGTTCTCAGCTAAATTTAAGGGAAAAAAATAATAAAAATAAATAAATAAAAGGAGTCTAAATAAATTCATTTGGACAAGTCATTATCCTTATTGGCACTTGTTCAGCTCAAGAATCATCAGAGTCGGCTTTTTGGCTTCATTTAATCTGTTCTGGTCATAAGAAAAATCTGGGAAAAGTCCTGCTCTGGAAGAGAAAAAAACATCAGCTTTAGCAATTTCAACAACATGCTAGCTTCAATAAATACCAGAGCTGCTCTCAATACAAAGAAAAGAGCTGAACAAAGAGTAAATAACCTGACTGAATTTCAAAACTAGCTGCGTTCCTGTTACGGTTTTGCGCAAAACTTTGTTGATATTCCACTAATGTCAAAAACACACAGCTTTGCAACATTCCAATAAATAAGAAATGTGATTGAAATCGCACATAAATACGTTTGTTCACGTGATAAGCCATTAAAAAACACACAGTTCCATCATCTTCCTACCACTTCCTGTCTTCTCCTTCTTTGTCTTTTCAGCCAGTAGTAACATCTGGCTGTTGTCCATGTTTCAATATGGCTGAAAAACCACCTAATACTGACACAAAAAATATGTTATTGAAAAATTTTAGATTTTTTTTGTTTTTCCAAAATTTATGTTTCCATTAAGCAGATTTATTTTCTACAGTCTAATTTGCACAATTTTTTTATAATCAATGAAAACATAGGTATTTTGTTCACCTGCTGTAGATATTTCCAGAACCTTCTGAGACACAGAGTATTCAGGTCTGAAGTTCAGACATTTTGTTGTATTAAAGTCAGAATATCAGTTGCTCTGAAACAAAAACACTCACCTTTGTTCATGCTGACAAAACACTTTGAAAATTATATATTACCACTTTGCACCCTTTTTATTCCTGAATTCACTGAACTCTCCAGCTGCTAAAGAAATTCTGCCGAACAAACAAAAAAAAACTTTATTGAACATCCTTCTAAAAATATTGACATGTTGTCTGCTTTGGTATCAACTTATGTACATTATTAATATACAAAGTTTCTGCTGAAATCACAGAGTCTATGCCTTACAGTGAGAAGTTGCACAACATTTGCAGCTTCTGTAACATTGTATTTTATGCAGAAAGCAACAGAGTGAACAAGATGCATCGCAAACAACATACACAAACCAAAATCAGTCCCCGGAAAATAGATATTTAAAAGGTAAAGTGTTTTTTTTTTTATTGGTAGATATCACTTTCAATAAAGTTGCCTTGTGATTCAGAGACTATAAAAAATTTGCAGAGTGGCTTCTGAACAGGCAAATGCTTTCTAAAGTGTGGACATTATGATTGGACCGATACATTAGTGACTGTAGACAATATGTCGCTTTAGTCCTAAGTACTGCGACTGCAACCAGCAGCCGGATAAAAACTTTTTCTCTGAGAGTGTTTGCAATTTTTAAGCCAGGGGGAAATTATTTTAAATGGGTGGTATTATGTGTTTTACAGCACAATCAAGTAACTATATTACCTTCAGTTGTTATTTAAAAAAAAATGCCGTATATATCATACACGCCCAACGTTTTTTGGGTTAATGAAAACTCAGACAGGTCATGCACATTCGAACAAAGCGTGGAAAGACAGAAACAACGTATCCATAATGTGTATGAACTACCAGCCACAAATGCTCTGGCGTGGCTTTGACTGTTGCTGGTATGTGACCATTGCACAGAATTCAAACTTTAAATAAATTTCACGAAAAGCAACAAAAGAATAAAAATAATAGAAAAGAATTGCAGTTAAGACCATTGTTTTTTTGTTTGTTTTTTTTTTAAATGTAGTTGCAGGCGGAGTCTGCTACTACGTAAAATAATTTGTTCTGTCAGAGACATAATATTAATTAAGGTATCAAAGTTTTAGCTTTGATACCTTAACGCCGACCTTAAGCTATCAAAATAAAACTGGAGGATAAAACATTCTTTTCATTTGTTTAAATGTGAAAATTGCTAAACTGAAGCGTGACTTTATAGCTGAATCTCTGGGCTTTGTCCAGATGAAACAAAGATTGAGGCTTTTAGCAACAAACAGCAGGATTGATGTGAAACCAAAGATCAATGTGAGGTAAAAGCGCATTATGTTTGCCGTTGAGTATGGTGAAGAATCTGTGATGAGGTGAGACTGCTTCTCTGTGAAGAATCCTAGGAAACTTGTTAGCATCACCATGGTTGTAAGTTTGGGTTAGGGTTAGGTTAGTGAAGAACACCGGAGTTGAGCCTTTTTTCATTCAATGTCATCAAGAGAAAGAAAAAAGGCAGGAAGAGACGATAAAGCCGATAATTAAAATGATGTTGATAGGTTTAATTTATCGTGCGATTAATTGATTTATCATTTATCGCCTACCGGGAATCGAACCTGGGACATCCGCATCAAGGACTGAGGCCTCCATATGTGGGCTGTGCTTAATGCGCCACCACAGCACTCCTCTACCAAGTGTTTTTAATGTGACCTTTTCTGTCTTTGTCCATTTCAGACAAAAACGGTTAAATTTTCTCAGCCAGAAAATTGGTTTCAGATCATCACTTTGAGTAATAAGTGAAAAGATAAATCAACACATGGATAATTTACATACATTTATAAAGGGAAATGGTCAAAGAACATCCTCTCTCTGTGCTCTAACAGGGTGACACGTTAAAGCTACAGTATGTAACTTTTACAAAAATATGGTTTTTACATATTTGTTGAAACTGTCACCATGTTATGACAGTTTGATGTGAGACAGATGATCTGTAAAAAGATCGATTTCCTCCACCTCTTTCCTGAACTACTGTTGTCGTCTGAAGGAATGGACCGCTCCTGGTCGGAAACAGCCAATCACAACAAGGAGGAGGGTCTTCGTACTATTAATCAACCTTGTGTATGTGTTGCTAAATGTGCCAGTGGTGGCGAAACAACTTACCATTCCAGGGAAACCTTTTATCTCTTGATATTGTCAGTGGCCATGCTAAGCAGTGTTAGCATTCATGGCAGGCTTTGTTGTGGTGATCCAGCTGTGGTGTAGCAGAGAGAAAATGTGAGAATGTGTGTGGCGGGTATACAAGCATGATTGACCGCGGTAAGACCCTCCCACTGGCCCTGATTGGTTGTTTCTGACAAACAAATACATAAGTGGATTTGTTAGATTTTTTTTTTCAAATTGTCTCATAGCCTGCTTTCATGACATAGCATCAGTTTTAGCAAATGTACAAAAAGCATTTTGTTTTTTAATAAACGTTACATACTGCTGCTTTAAACTCCCTGCTGGTAAAAGTGCGCCATCAACTAAAGTACGAATACATGTGACACCTCATTTAAAACAATCATCCTATGATTTCGTTTTCCTGACACTGAAAAAAAAGTATACTCAAATTAACAGCTTACTTCTTTTAAAGTTTATGTGGGAAATCATGTTGCCGTGATAAAAGAATAATTCATATTTAGGATTTTTACCAGCGGCGCAAACAAATGTGGCCTGCACTGACTATTCTGGATCTTCCTACACAATGCTCCCCACCTTTTCCCTGCACTCTCTTTCACACACACACACGCATAAATATTCTCGCTGTCCCACTTCTCCATTGCCAGTCCCAAAGAACACACCATCAGTCACCGAGGGAACGCTCAGAGATACGGACCGTCAGCAAGTTTACCGCCTGTTACACTTTTTCCAGACGGTCGTCTTATGAAGCCTGCGGTGAGTAATGCACTGGTGTTTTGGTAAAAGAGGCATCAGCCGCTGCTTTCTATGTAAGAGACTCCCTTCCTGCTGTAACATTGTGCTGTCTGTTACTCATCCAGGGCCGGGTGCCGGCTCATTAGCATGAAGGCTAGAATCCACTTCTCACCTGAGAGCTCATTTATTGTGCTCACATTTTTTAAAAATAATGATTTATTTATTTTTATTTTTTTTTTTTGGTCTATCGTGTGCAGGTAAAAAATACATTCACTGCAGCAGATTGAGGAGAATAAGCGAGTAGGATAATATTAAGTATAAAAGCAGAGGAGATTCATTGCAATAACAATAGTACAATCTGCTGTGGTGGAAAATATATGTATGTAGACAGACTAGTTTAATGGCTAGATAAATAGCTAGATAGATAAATAGCCAGCTAGCTAGTTAGCCAAATAGCTATATAGTAATATGTATCTAGTTAGCAAGGTAACTAAAACCATAACCTACCATCAAGCTGCTCTCTACTGATAAGGTTTAATTGTACAAGTAAAAAATGTTGAATTTTAAGGGCATAATCTTTTCTGTTTCCCAGTTGTAGGTGATCCTATTCTTCTTCTTGTAGAGTTGATTTTTTTATTTTAACTGAAGGCGTGCATTACTGCCACCAACTGGTATGGAGTGTGTACTGGAGAAAATGCTAATAGATTTTACATCTGAAAATTGATTGTTTGGAGAAGACAGCTTCAGTTTTTTTTAAAGAACTGGAGAAAACGGATCATATTTAGACAGATGTGTAGCTGAAGACACCTTCTGCACTGATTAATGAAGCGTTAATGATCAGTTATGCATTTGCTGTAGATGTTCTGTCTACACATAAATGTGTGATATTATATTTTTACAGTAATTCCAATAAGAATTTTGCTTAATTTTTTCCCGCCATTTTAACAAACTCATAACCAATCAAGGCACTTAATAAGGCATACTTTGTTACAAAGATCATGTCCACTGCTGAAAGTGTTTCATAACACAGAAAAACTGATTAGGAAAATACACAAAATCTATTTGAAAATGCCATCTGACGTACAACTTAAGCAGACGTATACACATTGAAAATATACATTTTTACAAATACATGCAGTGTACTTTAAAATTTTTTAGTAATGTTATATTATTTTATAAAGTCTACCATAATACATTTTAGAACAACTTAGAAGCATGTCTCTAAAATTGTATTTTACATTTTTAAACAATGTTAAATCTTAAAAAGTACATCCAATCTTTGCCTGGGAAACCTCACGGAAGTGTGAAAACTGTATTATTTTGTCTACATTGTTCAATAAAACTTAAAACAAAGTAACTCCCAGAGCATAATGCTGCTTCCACCATGTTATCCTGTATGGGTATTGAGTTCTTTTGTTGATGCTTAGTGTTGTTTTTGTCTCAAACACATTATTATAGCCAGATTTCATGTTTGGCGTCACCAGACCGTAAAACACTTTTACACGAGGTTTTGGTGGATTTAATCCAGATGTGCAGGAGAAAAAGCCTCGGACTCTAAACCCTACTATATATGGACAATACAAGAGATTACACAAGACCACAAGTCTGTGTTAGAAATTGTTTTGTATCTTTTTCCTGACTGATACCTTTGCACAGTATGATTCTTTTAATCCTCTGTAACTTTACGAGGTAAATCTAACACACACACACACACCCCAAACAACTTTTTTGTTTCAGTTGCACCGAGCAGGATGAATGTCACGTTAACTGTGAGAATAATATTATTAATAAACAGTTAACATATGGTTTGTATTATGAAGATAAATAGCTGTGCAGCCTGGTGGTCCTTTAAAGTAAGTCGCTAAGTTACAAGCTTCGAAGCTCAAACACAGGTAGCTGGTGATATAAAGGCTCAGTGGTGCACAGATGAGCGAGTAAAAGAAGATGTCATGGTCAGACATTGGGGAGAAATGTCCCATCAAACCGTCAGCACCCGAAACGGCAGAAAAAACCCTCCAACCTTGTAATAGTACACGCGGGGACAGTGTTGTGTTGTGCAATATTTTATGGAGTTTGTAGGAATGGACTACCTTTTATTGTGGCTCCAGTTCTCTCCCGTTTATCTGAGGTTAGATCACATAATTCATTCAAACAATCAGCTTGAGAGTGTAATCAATTGTTATGCTAATCCTAATCCTTATTTATTTATTTATTTATTTTAAAAAGCAAGCTTGGGGATAGATTACTGCGTGAAGCAATTAAGATTCTTCTCGTCATTCCTAAACCTTATTCTACCATTCCTCCTACTAACAGTGTGCATGCACAGACGGTACTCAAAGCCATGTTGCACCAGAGGAACTTTAATGTTGTTAGCATGCTACATCAGCAGTGCTACATGTAGAGTAAGTCCCTATTTAGAACCAGGTTGTTTGATGCAGGTTAAAGTCCTTCCGTGAAATTGCAGCAAGTCAAAAGCTTAAAAAAATTAAAGGTCTAAAATCATTTATAGAGTATTTTTCTTGTGCTCAAACATTTCATCAAAACTTTACCTCTGAGTAACAAAACTTTAAAATACTTTGGGTCATAAACTGCCCAGGTTCTTCTTATGCTGTCAGTAACAAATCAATCGAAAAATATATCTTGGTCAATGTTCAGCTTCAAAACACATAAGGCCCTTTGAATGATCCAGATAATTCTCCTTTTTTGTTTGTTTCTTTGAAAGAAATGTTTAAAAGTCAAGTATTCTGCAGATAAACAAAGACCTCAAAGGTTCTGTGTGTTCACTGCAGTGGGTTTTTGCTCACGTTGTCCAGAGGCATTTCACGGTTTCCCTTAGTTACCAATCTACCACCAGGCAGGCCGAGGCAGAGATGAAGTCCGCAGCCCTACAACATTGTTAATGACTTCCTGGACAGGAATTTGAAGTTTTCTCGGCAATAGCCAAGTGTCAGCCCTCAAAGTGGGCCACCAGTGAAACCACAACCACAGGTTGGTTGTAAGACGACGGGGCTTTGGTGAGGTCAATGGTTGGTTCACAGGACGGGTCCAGCTGGGGTACAGTGGCAGCCGGTTGGCCCAGAGAGGCGACCATAAACAACAAGTCGTCGGTCCGGCGGGGGCCGGTCACCGCCACTCCCTTCACAGCTTTGGTAGCAGCCTTGGACGAGCTCTTCAAGCTGGAGCCTCTGCGAGGAGCTTCACAGTGCAACAGGGCTTGGAAACATCTGTAAAACTGGGACAAGCACACAAACACAAAGTTAGAACACAACATAAAGCATCTCCAATTTTAGCTGCGTTTCCATTGGGCATGTAATTACGCAATTTGACATTTTGAAAATGAATTCTCTTAAGCTTCTTGCGGTTTTAGTTCGACGCTCAGAAGGGGTGTTGTCCCATCAGACCGTCTGTTTACACACACACACCCACACACACACAAACTCGTAAAAGCACACGCGGGGTCAGTGTGACCCAGCCAGACCGCGCACATAGTAAAAAACCCGTGGGGTCTAAATGATCCCATCTCCTGATGCTGCGGGAGTGTTAATGGAAACACTGCAATTTTGGAAAAAAAAAAAAAAAAATGTTTCTCGATAAACATTTTGCCGTTTTCTTTGGCCGTATCGAAATTTGTTTAGTTCACAAAACTACTACGGAAACTCTTTTTCCCCATCACGTGGGTCATGTGATCAACAACCGGATGTTACTACTGGAGCAAACAACGAACAAGATGACAGGAAGTGGTAGGAGGATGGCAGGAGTTTTTACTGACCTACTCTGTGAAACTTATTCACGTGAGATTTAAAGTGCGTTTCTTATTTATTGGAAAGACCGCGGTTGCAAAATTGTGTTTTTTTTGACATTAGTGGAATGTTGACAGAGTTTTTCACATTTGTAATTGAAACGCAGCTTTTGTCTCAACACACCGAGTAAACATGGAAGGTGTGTTTTGTACAGTAAAACATTTAGCTCCGTTTTGTCCAAAGTAGGTTTCTACAAAAAGAATGTTCAGGTGCATTTTCTGCACACCTCATTGTTCACCCGTTGGGCAAAATGCATCTAATTACGTCCAACCTCAGCCTTCTGCTTTCTCCCTGTGTTCCACACACTTCATTATAAACTTTTTCATTGGGATAATTGTGTCGGCTGCTTTGTGTTGCGGAACAATACACCAATGGAAACAAATTATTTGCTCCTAAATTAATCAGGTAATGACATTCGCAATGAGAAGAGCAAAGTCAGTGTGCAAGTGTATGCTTTTTATTAGTGTGGTTGAAAAAAAGGGTCTGAAAAGAGAAATGCCTTGTTCTCTTCTGTTCATGACACCTCCAGCAGCGGATCGCTAATGTTCGTTTAGCATTTTCAGTGGGTGTTCAGATCCATTACAAAGGCTTTTTGATGAGAGGTTTAAGTTTTACACCTTGTTGGAAAACTTTTCCTTAAAAGAAATGATCAAAAAGCTCCTGGATGTTAAAACAGAAAATAGCGTGAGTTTTTGTTAAATGTTACCGATTCTTATCTTAAGGCAAACGTTAGCGTATGTAAAAATCAGTATTTGCTCAGGAACAAATGTCAGATGTTGCAGTTTGTAAGGACTGTCACATCAAATATGACTTCTGTAAACTTCTAAAATATACAGGGATCTTTGTAAATATTTATTGATTACAACTGAAAGTGAAATTTAGGCCACAATTAATACTTATTAGCCCACGTTGGTCAGTTTGATCCTTTAATATGAGAGAAAAAAAAAGAACTGTGATGTCATTGAGAAATTTTGTATCCATCTTTGAAGCAGAGGAACTCTGTAAACTCAACCACTGAACTTCAGTAAATCCAGACTTTTCACAATAAAAACTGATTATAAAAAGAAAAACAAAAGCAACATATTTTGATTTATGTGCCGAATTAACACTTTATGCATGATCCAGCTGCTGAATTTCTAAACAGATTTAAAAAATAAATAAAAAATTCTGACAAACTGACCGACCCCCGATCGCGTCACCTATTATAACAATCAAATGCATAGAAATGCAACAGTGCAGTGTTTCTTCCTTAAAGCTGCAGTGTGTAGTTTTTATAAAAAATGTTTTTTTTTTTTACATATTTGTTGATATTGTGACTCTAATATGAGAGACAATCTGAACACAGATTCATCTCCTCCGTCTCCTCTCTGTGCTGCTATCGCCAGCGCTCCCAACCTAAGCCAACCAATCACAGCCAGGGGGAGGGTCTTATCGCTGTCAATCAAGCTTTTGTATGAGCTGCTAAATGTGCTAATGGCAAAAAAAAACAACTGACCGCTACAGGAAAACCATTCACACGCCATCGTCAGTGCCCATGCCAACTAGCTTTATGCTAAGACCCGCCTCCTGGCTCTGATTGGCTGTTTTCAGTTCACACCAGGAGAAGCAGAAAAGCTTTTTTTTTTGTTTCTTTTAACAGATACTATGTTTCATACAATACTGTCAAGACATAGTGACAGTTTCGACAAATATGTATAAGAAAAAAAAAGTATTTTTATAAAGGTTCCACACTGCAGCTACAAAGCTACAGTAGCAAAACCCCGATATCCATCTGAACGTGTGTGTGGTCTCATTCAGCGTAGTATTGAAACTATTTTTGCCACAAGAAGTGAATTAAACAGGAAGAGGACACATTGAAAGTCCTTCATTTCCAACCTTCACTGCTTGGTTTTAACAAAAACAAGGTTTTTTTTTGTTTGTTTTTTTTAAATCAGGTAGGTCTCTCTGAGAGCGCTGGCCTCATTTTCTGGTTTCCAGGAGTTTCACACCTGGAAGTTGTCAGAGATGACCCAGACCAGAAGAAGCAGACGGAGGAGGGAGAGAAATGATATTAATAAGTAATTATGTACGGATCAGTTTTAAATATAGTCACAGCCTGCTCTGTTGGCCTCTGGGCTCCTCTGGGGGAAACAACTTAAAGTTAAGGGACCTCATTTTCGCTGTTTTTTCCCCCAAAACTTTCATGAATCGTACTCGTATTTGTGGCCCAGAAACGCAGTGGGGGTGCCGCTGACATCCGCACCTACCAGTGACACCGTGTTACACAGGTTAGGCAAAGCCTGGGGCTTTCAGACTTCTGTCTCACATACATGTGGAAGATTCATCTAGGTCAGCAGCTCCGAAACTGAAAATGGATTCCTCTCAGGAATCAGAGAGGACATCCAAAGGAAGAAAAACGATGCGTTACGGTCGACTTGAGGAAGATGAATTCAAAACTGGGAAAAATAAACAAACGCTTGCCACCATCCTGACCTGGATAATTTATTCATTAGGCGGGCGAGGCCTCCTGGTGATCGGGTGTGAAGCGGCAGCTGCGTTCGTGCTGCTGTGGAAAAACACGAGAGCTCTTCAGAGATGAGAGGTTGAGAGTCGCGGTGCCCGCTGCCTCTCTGCAGCACCAAAGAGGCTAAATACGACGAGGAGAGGGGGCAAAGCGCGGCGCTCCGGTTAGATAACAGCTGCCTGGGAAACGTGTGAGAAGTCTGTTAAAACGGACCGACGTGTGCTCTGCTTTACGAGAAAATGGACTGAACAAAGAGCGTTTTGTGGGGGAAACAAAAATAAATAAATAAAAAATTGGACAAAACCCCAGGAATGTTTTGGATGATGAACTCAAGTAGAACTTATTCTGAATAATTTGACCTTTTTATTCTCCATACTTTCTTTTTTTGTGTGTTTCCAGGCCTGCTCTCAACACTGAGCTGCTCTTTCCAGTTTTTTATTTTTTATTATAGAAAACAGTTTTGACAGTAGTTAAAACTGTAGTTATTTCTCTTTCTCACTGTTTCTTTTTCTTAAAATCTCTCTCTTTCTCATTGTTTATTCAATGTCACATGCTGTTTTTATTTTAATTATGTAAAGCACTTTGAAATGCCTTGCTGCTGAAATGTGCTATACAAATAAAATTTGATTGATTGATTGATTGATTAACCAGTTACACTGCAAAAACACAGAAGCTTACAAGGTGTTTTATAGTTTTACCAAACTTGAAGTAAGAATTGAGTAACTTATCAGGAAGATACATGAGCTTGTTTTAAGTGAATAATTCATTACTATTGATGAAAAAAGTACTAGTTCCACAGGCGGACTTTACACTTTTATTATAAGTTGAAATAATCTACCAGTGGCAACGGCACTTTTTTCATCAATATAAATGAATTATTCACTTAAAACAAGCTCTTGCTGAAAAAGTTAGTTTAGTCTTATTTCGAGTGTATGAGGATATTTTCAATAAGAAAATAGACTAAAATACTTGGTAAGATTTAAAGGTTTTGCATTGTAGTGTGTGGTTTTGCAAAGGAAAAAAAAGAGACACACGATTGTAGTTGAATATGTTGCGAAGTTGCCAAGAGGTAGCAGTGTTAGGAGGTAAACAAGAGGAAAGCACAGCAACATAATTACTTCCTGTGGTCAAGATATGGACCAAAGTTTTGTTAAGTTTGTAACTATTTTAAGCTCATTTTCAGACCCAACTACTGATCTTTTTCAAAAAGAAAAATGAATGTAGTAACTTGGAGCCATTTGAGCCTGTGAGCTCCTGTGGCACTTGGATAAAAGGCAAAAAAGAATTATATTAATATATATATAAATTAACTCTGATTCTGTGATTATTTCATGTTTGTGGAAATTTGTGTTAAACGCCACCAGCTTCACCCAGGACCGTTTCCTGTCAGACCTGTGTGTCTACAAGGAGACCAAATGTTCTCAAAATCTAAATTTCTGTAGGCCTCGCTTGTGTTAGTTTAAGTCATTCGTCATGATTTGACTACAAGAAATAGTCAAAATGATTATCCGTGAGAGACTAAACCCTTGCTGACCAGAGAGAACACAAACGCCTGTTTTAGATTAGCAAAAAATAAATAAATAAACATTTGTGATCCCAGAGACCTTTGACAAAGATTTTCTTTTTAAGACATCTGGTCTAAAACATTTTATAAAAACATGACAATGCCAGTCAAACATTTGCTGTTTTACAGTAAACAGTACTGTTGACCAAGTTTGTGAAGCTAGTGGAGGATTTAAGAGTGGTGTACTGGTCCTGAGTTATCAAATTAATTTGTTATTGAGTACGTCCATGTTTATTTCAAATAAATAAATAATTAAGTCAGTTTAGCATAATTTCTTCATCATATCGGCTGATACCAAACTTCAGATATCGCTATCGGAAGTGAAATAAGTGGATTGGTGAGTCCCTACATTTAACAAATTAAAC